GAAAATTACTTTCTTCCGCACACTCGGCTGGGAATAAAAAGTGCAAAAGGAGCCCCTTCGGCAACCTCCGGGGAAGAGAACCCGCTCGATTTACGCCGAGCGCGTTCACGCACAAGCGGGTTTGTCTGTGTCCTGATCAGTCAGCCGCATGATACTGCTCTGCGTGGGCGATTGCCCTCCGAGAATCAATTTGAACACGGGCCTCGGACGCTTCGACAATGCTGCGGCTTCGGTCAATGGGGACTCCCTTGCGTTTGACTTCTCGCGCCCTCGATACGCCGCGTTCCGGATTAAGCCCGGGTTTACATGGGTCCTGTGCTATTGGGATCCCTGTCTCACTGAGTCGGCTATCCATGCTTCGTTACGAGAACGCGTACCCTATTGACTCACTGGAGCACTGCCTGGCTGTCGTTGTCGTCGACGTAAAGGTAGACAATAAGAGAGCAAGAGAGAAAGAGAGAGAAGGGAGAGAGAGAGAGAGAGAGAAAGAGAGAGAAAAAGAAAGAAGTGATTTTAGGCAAGAAGAGGGGAAGCGGCTCGGCGTGACTGAATGATCCTCGACATCTACCGTATTTATATTCCTGTTTGCCCGCTGATTCGCCACGGTTCTGAGTCCGTTAAAGTCTCTTAAAGATCCAGGACCGATCTTATAACCGGTCAAAATACGCATTCGTTTTCCTAACCGGTGATCCTCGCGACGGAACGATTGCTCTGTACCTGACGCCACTGGTTACGAGGAAGGCCCCCTTTTTCCGCGTGCACCATGAAATCGGCTGAATTCCCGGGTTTGGACTGAGCCAATGTGGACCTGTACGAGATTTTTAAATGTGACGGAAATCGTATTAAGTGGAACTCTAACCGGAAAAGTAGTTGGAGATGAAAGAGTTTCTCGCTGAGAAAAACGAAAACCAGCTCTAATCTTAAATTTCCGAATGTATACTTAACCTGAATTCTAAATAATACCAGAAAAAGTCTTCTGAAAGTAGGCTAGGAGAAATATGTAAAAAAAAAGTCTAGACAAAGTCTAGAGTAATACTTTAAATCTCTAAAAATACATTTCAACGTGTCAGATTTTGTGAGCTTATACCATTAAAATAAACCTAGATGGCATACTGTTTCTTGATGTCCACCATATTATCTAAACAAGCAAATGCATCGTAAATCCTGTTGTTAAATTTTCAGGATTAACTTACAAAGGAAGTTTCACAAGTGTTCGAAACCGATTTGATTCTCCATGAAATATGTTGTTAAACACGAAAATCTAAAAGACACATATTTTTTTTATACGTGCCCTAACTCATGTTTAAGGGATGAAACACCCCTTTGAAAAAAAAACGATATATTTTTCTTTCGAGGCGAATATCATCGGAAGAATAAAAGATGGAAAAAATTTTTTTAAACGAAAGTACAATTTCAAGAATACTTCAATGTTGTGAAGAAAAAAATTTTTTAAATTTTTTGTTAAACAATTGTTTTCTTCACAACATTGAAGTATTCTTGAAATTGTACTTTCGTTTAAAAAAATTTTTTCCATCTTTTATTCTTCCGATGATATTCGCCTCGAAAGAAAAATATATCGTTTTTTTTTCAAAGGGGTGTTTTATCCCTTAAATATGAGTTAAAGCACGTATAAAAAAGTACGTGTCTCTTAGATTTTCGTATTTAACAACATATTTCATGGAGAATCAAATCGGTTCCGGACAGGAAAAACTTGCCTTGTTATCCATATACATAAAATGCATATCCATATACATAAAAAAAAATGATTGTAATTTTTGTTTCTGCCCTTTTATCAGTATTGACAGTCTACCGATCTGTTACAAATTTTGAAATGTAATATTACAGAGGTGCAAGGAGAAACTTAACACTTTGGCGATCTCGGTGATGAACCAGTGGCCCGGAGTGAAACTGCGAGTTGTCGAGGGTTGGGACGAGGAAGGTATGCATGCGACAGATTCCTTGCACTACGAGGGACGTGCCGTCGACGTGACGACGAGCGATCGCGATCGCTCCAAATACGGGATGCTGGCGAGACTCGCTGTTGAGGCTGGTTTCGACTGGGTCTACTATGAGTCCAGGTCGCACATACATTGCTCCGTCAAGTCTGGTTAGTAATTTCCATCATGTTGCTTAAAACGTATTACCAAATGATTGCAAAAGAATGTGCGAATTGCGAATTGTCTTGTCGGTTCGGAGAGAGCGAGAGCATTAAAAGCGGTCGATCCGCGGACCTCATGTGGATTTTAATTGCGGTCATTTCGCGTTAATACCCGCATAAACGCCATGTCAATAAAGATGAGCGAATAAACTACCGGACAGTAGTTGTAATGATGTCGTTTTATGCAATAAAGATGCCGAGGTCGGTGCAGTTGTATAATAACGTCGTTTAATGGAACAAGGATACTAAAATCGCGCTGTTCTTAAATCGCGAGTGACAAAGTGACTTGGCGCCTTGAGCGCACGTATTACCTATATGGCGACATAAAATCGTTCAACATTGTTGATATTATTATAGATGCGTTCTATCCTTGTTTTACGTCTAATAAACAATTAAGACAGAATGACACAAATATCTCTAATAGCATCTTCCTATAACGCATTATAATAACTATAGGATCGTTCTACTTTAAATACAAAAATTAGATTAGTTTTTTTAACAAACATTTAATAGTTAAATAAATATCGTGTATTTGTCTATTCTCTCGTGAAAATTGGTGCCACTACCTTATTCGTAGTTTCTAAAGATGTCTATTTTACCGACTCTTTATTCTTCTCTCATTCATTGAAAATTCATGCGATGAAATAATATTAATGCGAATACTCGCGAATTCAAATTAAATCCGATTATTTCTATCAAATTCAATTTAATCTAAATTCGGATAATCTGCAATTAACTAAACAGTTTGAATATTTTTATTCGAAATATCTTACATACTTTTATATTTCAGAAATTTTATTAGATTTTTCTAAAGTAATCCATTATATGAATGTTACTTAACTTCAAATCGAATTCGATCGAAACGAATCATCAAATTTTCTTGAAAACTCCTCAAATAACAATAAGTAGAGAGTAATACCATTCATCACTTTTCTTTGTTGTTTCGTTAATGAAGAACAATCTGCAAGAAATTATAAATCTCAAACAGATCATGAAAAAAATGTATTACATTTCTATCATATATGCTAAATATAAAACAATGGAAGAAATTCCTAAATACACCAAAAGATGGCTCCTGCAGTATATTTACATTAGAGATCCTATAAGAGAATCTGGCCACGAGCAATTTTATGAAAACAAGAATGAGAAAAATGGGTACGTACAATGTCTCTTTTTACACATGCTATCTCATTCTAATTTACTGAAGTTGACAAAAATGACGCGAATCAAAAATTTGTCATCTCGTGGTCAGATTCTGTTATAGAGTCTCTAAGAGTTTTTAATTTATATCATAGCATCGTTAATATAGTTTAATACTTAAAAAAATATTTTTAAGACCTTTTTTATGTTTCAAGAAACGAGAATTATTCCTGTGAAATAATTCTTAATTATGAGAATTTTCTCGCATATTTACTTTCTTTTTCGATCTAGCAATATTTACCTATACGAGAGCAACCAGCGATTCGTGTTCGTTCCAGGCCATGGTTGAGTCTCGAATTTCAAAATAAATGCCGATAAATCAAGGCGTGCCTGTCGGTCCGAATTAAAACCGAGCATAGAAATTGGCGCGAAACCGATACGAGCCGATGTTGAAGGGATCGAAAAGGGAAACAATAGGATGGAGGGAAGCCAAAGTGCAACAAAAAGTGTGAACGCGACCCATGCGTGTTTAATACTCCATCAATTTTCATCATAATCATGTTAATTAATCGACAGACGATTGCAAGAACGCTTAATAAGCGATGACACATTCTTTTTGCACCGTAATCTTAACACTTTCATTTTCATAATGTATCCCAAAAAAATTACATTAAAAGATATTCAATTTTTTAAAAATGTCAATATTTATAAAGCTCTTCTATATCTGTAGTTTCATCGTAGTTTTCCTTGGAATAGGATTTATAATAATTTTGTTTAGCTATGTAGAGCGTGTATTTATCTTAGTTTCTTTCTTCTTACTTATTTCACTACCTTAACTCTCTATACACGTCTTACTTTTAGAATCGTCTTCAGCGGGCAAATCTGGTGGTTGCTTTCCCGGGAGGAGTCTGGTCCGAACGGAGGACGGTAGTACGAAAAGGTTGGACGATGTGCGTCTCGGCGACCGCATCGCCGCTGTGGATTCCCGTGGCGACGTGGTGTACAGCGAGGTGATCGCTTTCTTGGATCGTTCTCCGTCCGAGAGGAGACAGTTCATCCGATTGACGACCAAGTCTGGCCGAGTGCTCACGTTAACGCCAGCGCATTTGGTACCGGTGGAGGGTGGTTTGGTATTCGCCGCCAACGTGCAACCCGGTGACAGAATCCTCGTGAGTGACGCCGATGCAGCGAGCGCGGCGAACGAGGTGGATAGTCGCTTGCGATGGGACAGTGTCAACGAGACAAAATTGATCATCGAGGAAGGAGTTTACGCTCCGCTTACGATGGAGGGTACTCTCCTTGTAGACGACGTCGTCGCGTCCTGCTATGCCGTCGTCAACAGTCAGTCGCTAGCACATTACTCCTTTCTGCCGCTAAGGATTTGGCACAGCGTGACATCCTTTTTCCTACAAAGGTTGGACGACGCAAAACACTTTGCGACAAGACATAACGATGTGTCCAGAATAGATTCGACGATGAGAGGAGAGCAAGAGGGCATCCATTGGTACGCATCGATGCTTTATTCGCTGTCCTTCTACGTGTTGCCATCGAAAATGGTTTATAACTGAGTTTCGATAGAACAAAAGAATTTGTGCAAAATGTTGACTGAATCCTCAAGGACAAATTTAAGTGTTTAGCGCGAATGTTACGTTCTAAAGATTTTAGAGCTATGAAACTTAGGTGTTGATTAATTATCGGGACGTCGCCTTGTCTCTCGAAACTTTTTTTTATGGATCCTCGTTGTGGATTCCGGTTACACGAGTGTCGTTGAAGATAGTTAATGTATGACCGTGGGGATGGAGTCACCGTTGAGAGAAATGCATGTATTTAACACGTAGAACAAAAGACGTCGTCGTAGGCGAAAGACATAAAGTTGGCCAGTGACCTACCAGTGTTCACCGAATGACGTGTAGCATATATTAGATCCTTAGGACAATAGAAAAATAGATGAAAAACAGAGCTTTAGGGAGAATCGGACTTTTCTCTTCCACATTTTAAATGTATGTATACAGTATACTGATATACAAATATTTCTCTTTTCTACATTTTTTAGTATTCGCGATTCGTGTGCATCTCGTCCGATATACTTGTTTCTGAGATATCAAAGGAAATTACCTTTGTGTCACGGAAAAAGTGTGTAAGATAATTGCCGACTGTTCGATTGTAATGTTATTCCGAATAATCTTCAGGATGTACATGCGAGCAACAAGAAAACGTCTATATTTAAATATTTTAAAAGATCCCCGGGAAAAAATGTTACATAAATGGACATATTTTATATATAGTTATATATATTTGCATATAAAATATGTTAATTTTTTATATAATTTTATGTAATTTTATATTACATAATTATATATAATTATATATGAAACATTTATTCCCGGGTTATTGTATATACCCCGCTTTTTTATGTTTCCCTCTTGTTTTGCGCAATGAAAAGGGGATGAGATTTGCTTCTTTTAACATTGCTTGTATCTCATAATTTAATGTATCCAAAACTGTAATTATGCGTCTATTTAGTCGAGGTGCACTTTTTTTCTTTTGAAAATTAGTATAGATTTGGACTTTCGAAAGAGCAAATGAAAGAAACAAAGTGCAAAGAAAATGACTAAAAAAATTAATAGATATTGCCATCCTCGGTTGTGGCAGTAACTATCGAGTACCGCTGTATAATAATTATATTATTATTATTATTATTATTTGTATATTGTAGCACACAAACAAATTATAAATTATGTATATACATACCCCTTTCCAAAAAACTGAATTACATTATTAACGAAAGCAGATCATCATGTCTCGTTATTTTCATACAACGAATACTTTTAATTTAATAAGTAAGTTAGAAAATTTAAACAAAGAAAGTCATATAATATATGTATATAATGCACTACTCTATATTGTAGAAAAATTAAGAAAAGTTAAATCTTTTATTGTACTTACTGTTAATGTTCTTTTTCCTTTTCTTTCCTTTTCTTTCTCGCTTTTTTTTTTTACTTAAAAAATTCTATGAAAGCAACTTCAATTCTATACTGCACCAATAGGTCGAAACAAAATGTAATTAACATGAAGAATATCTTTGATATTTTTTTGTTCTAAAAGATTTTTATACTTAATGTCTGAATTTTTCGAGCGATTCGATTTATATTTCAGAAATAGATCTTGTTTTATATAATCGTGAGAATCCAATATAATTTAGCATCACTCGTGATGACGGATAACGAGACAACAGCCGGAACAGAGGACGAACTTGAAAATGTAAGATTAACTAAAAGGTTGGCACCGATAATTCTCTCTCTTTCTCTTTCACTCTCTCTCTCTCTCTCTCTCTCTCTCTCTCTCTCTCTCTCCCCCTTTTCCTTTATTTAATTTTTTTTAATGAAAAGGAAAAAAAAGATGATATGATACATCCCTGTAGGTTTATTTCAAGGTTATTTTATTGCAGCCTGGTGTGATGTTTCCGCATTTGCAAGAACTTGAGAAAAGGTTCTTTGAAATTGTCGACGACGGAAGTATCACTGAAGCGCGACTATTCTTAGAGAAACATCCGGATTTCAATATAAATGCCATCGATTTTCAAGTAAGTATGTAAATTTGTAATTTTCTAATTTTGAAAAGGTATAAAAAATTAATGTCAAAAAAAGATTATTGAGTAAATTGAGGAAATACATTTGTGTGGAATCGAAAGTCTATGAAGTTCTTTCCTGATTTGCAATTAATCATTAAAATTATCAACAATGATTATAAAATATTATTTGCAAAATAAGGAAATGAAGCGAATAAATACTATTATAATGTGCAAATTGCCGATCGCTAAATTATACCATGACGGAATGAGTTTTCCATAAATTATTAGCCATCAGAGTCCATCTAGTTTCTATTTGATTTGTTGGACTACCCATGAAGCCATACGAATGGCGGCTTCAAACTAAACTCTTAAACAGCTCATAAAGATTTCCAAATTTACCTTTTTTGTCACTGACTCCGTGATTTAAACGACCGTCACTTATGTTAGGATTCACGGAAAAGACACTGCGCTTCAAAGGGAAATAGGTTTTTCGCAGGTTTGTCAGTGTTCAGGTTATCTCTGTCATCTTTCAACCTTTTCTTTAAGATCGCTTGATGCAATTTAAAATGGTCTACCGTTCTACCGTTTTACTTATTCTTTGATGCTCAGCAAAAAGAGAATCAAGAAAAATGAATTGCAGTACAGATACCGAATTAGTTTATCACTTGCAATAATAATTTACGTTATTGAAAAATATTAATGCGTAATTTTTTAATAAAAAAAATTAATTTTTATTTAAAAAAAATTTTATTGATTTTCGATAAAAGTTTTTATATAATCTAAACATATTTATTTATATATCTTAAAGAGCGAATCCAACTGTTTTAAAATCTTTTACAAACTCGTGTGGTTTACTTCGTGCAAGAAACGGCGGAACCAATATAGGAAGAAGGGAGACAAAACGAAGAGAATGAAGGCGATGCGAAGTCCAGTTATCTCACAATCAGATCTTTACCCTATAGAGGAACACATACCCCCCGTGGAATGTTTCCTCCATCCATTCGGTCAGCACGGTAACCATCTCAGTGTGCTTCTCTCACTCTCTCTCTTTGAGAGGATTCCAGAAAAGCGACCAAACTCTCGCTTTGACTTTGAGATCGAAAAGCCGAAGCGGCACAAAGAGAGACGGCACGCGAATGGAAGGAGAGGAGAAAAAGAGAGAGCGGGAAGAGGGAGAGAGATAGAAGAGGGAATTCGATGGAAGAAAGAGAGAAATACACAGAGAGGAGGAAGCTGGGTGTTCTCCATGTATCTTCAGCTATATTTTAGGCCGTCTTTTTACAAGACAATGGTTTCAACTGAGACCTGATAAAAATTATTCAAATGGCTCGCCCTATTATAAATTCTATATGGGAATTCTCTTGACATCGGAAGCTCTTTCACGCTCTACTTGTGTGCCTTGGCGTGATCTATGATACATCAATAAACATCGCGAATTTCGTGATGCGCCAATTTGTCCCATTATTCTCTGATAGAACATTTGTCCCTTTAAACTATTTTTTTTTAATAAAATAGAAATGTAATATATAAAAAAAGTATAAAGTGTGTGTTAAAAAAGTATGAAGTTAAGCATCCGTAAAAGGATTATCACACGTTAATCCAATAGAACACACCTCAATCATTCTGCCGAGTGTTTTTGTTTACGATTTATCCTTCACAAAAGAAAAATCGCAAAAACAAATGACAAACAAATATTTAGCAGGGCGTAAAATCTGGCCGAGTCATGCATTAAAGGCGGCAGCTGTCTATTGTTAAGGGACAGCTAACAAGAACTTTTGGCGAACATATATCACGATCTGTTATTGTCGTTAGGCGTGTGGATGTACATGGATATTCCCAGGGGCCTGTCGAAAAGCCAAAATATCAGTGAATATTATTGTGACTGGTGTCGCCGACAACAATGGTACTGGCCCATTGTTGGGATCCGCCTCTGTAAACGCACCGCAGATGGGCGAGAAACGTCGTCGAGCCATTCTTCCTACAAAAAGGGACACAACCGAGAAAAAGAGTGGAGCTGATAGCCTTCTAAAAGTCGATCTTACTACAGGAAGAGACCGTGGCAAGAAAGAATTTCGAGAAAGTCCAGAATTTTTCGGTCATTCAACCATTATGGCCATATCCCGCTTTGCATTTTCTTATGCAAATCGTTATTTCCGTTACTTCGATTATCGACAATTATCTGTAGCGGGACAATAGAAACACACGGAAAAAAAAAGTTTTGGAGAATCATCTATTGTGTTTCGCTTTATTTCTCTTTACTCTCAATTTTTTTTCTAATTTATGAGCGAACTTCCTTCGTCAATTAATAAAATTATGGCTGAGTTCTCACCTCAGCCATATTGAATCGTGACGTCATAAATGAGAAATGACACGTTGATGTTTCTTGTCATTTGTAAAAAAAGACAATTTAGATAAAACGGAATAATGAGAACGCAATAAAACACTTGTAAAAATGGGCCAAGACCATCCTTATCTCTCCCGACTATTTACTGACTGACAGTCAGTAGGTAAACAGTCCAAAAAGTCGTAAAGTGAAAATAGGTTACGCATTCGCATTGAGTAAAAATTCATAAACGCCACTTTACGTGCCTTTTACAACTATTTACTAACCATCAAAGGAGATAATGATAGTCTCGACCTATTTTTACAAGTGTTTTACAGCGATCATTATTCCATTTTATCTAAATTGTCTTTATTTATAAATGGCATGCAAAAAAAAAATAAACATGTCGCTTACGACACATTTTTCGTTTATGACATCACGATTCAACATGGCTAAGGTGAGTATTCAGGAGCCTTAATTGAATGCCTCATTTTCAGGGTGTTAGTGCGCTGCATATTGCTGTTAACGACAGAAATACAGCGATGGTTGAGTATCTGTTGTCTCATCCAGATATCGATCCGGGTGACACGCATCTGCATGCAATCAGAGATAATCAAGTGAGGATCGCTGTGCTGATATTGAATAAGCTGAATGAATTGACACCGGGTCTCGAGTATGCCGGTGTCACTCACAGCCCCGATTTCCCGGACGATACAACACCGCTCGCGGTGGCGGCACAATACGGGCGTTTCGAGATGATTGATATACTCAGATTTCGACGTCACATTCTGCAGAAACCACATCCGCCTAGTTGCAACTGTGACGAGGTTTGCAAGTACGATACCGTTGTATACCGAGACGTTTGAAGGCTCATAAATTTAATTTATAAATGTTTTCATTCAAGTCACGACTAGTTGAAAATATCGCAATTAAATAACTTATTAAATAATGATTTCATTAAATATTTTATAAATTATTAATTTATTTCGCAGACCAGAAAGGGAAAAGGGCGATATCGTGACTTTAGAAAAAATGAGATTGTTTATATATAGGGCAATATCGAATCCAATATACCTTTGTCAAACCGAAGAAGATCCAATCCTAAAAGCTTTTCAATTATCGGCCGAGCTTAGTAAGGAAGCTTCATTTGATAAAGAATTCTATCCTGATTATAAAGCATTGTCCAATGTTAGTGAAATCTTATTCCTCATTCAAATTTATTGGATATTAATAATTATCAGCCAAATAAATCAAATTATTCATTTAATTAAATAAAAAAGACAATCTGTAGGAGAAGAATGATAAATTACCTATCATTAATATATTTCGATGATATTTGCGATATATCA